TATTTCGGTCCCCGGGAAGTCTTAGACGTCGTGGGTAATGATTTGGATGGTCCCTCGTATGTCATTTGTATCCCTGGTCACCTGCGCACTTACCCTGTTTTTCACGCCTCGAAGTTTGCACCTTTCGCTGAGACTGCACAGTTCCCATCACGGAGATCTATGCTGCCCCCAACCATGGATGGCCACGTGGACGTTGATGATATCCTGGACCACGGAGACATGCCTGTTCCCAAGCCAACTGACAGGGGTAGACCTCCTAAACCTGCAAGGGAGTACAGAGTACATTTCAGGCATCATACTGATCGATGGATTTCAAGGGAGGAACTTGTCAAGACGGCTCCTCAGATCGAGGCAGAATATGAGAAGAAACTGAAGGGGAAGGCACCAGCATGAAGCACCTCAGCGGACTTTCGAAGCTAAGGGGGATGGAATGCGAGGAACAAGCCCTCACAAGGCGCTATCAGACATCACATGCTCTGGGCAAAGGCCCCCAGCAAGCCAAGTGCCGGCCCTAAGTGAAGGCGGGCCTGAATATTAGTCGAAGGACAAAATTCGACACTTTCATATGTGGGCATTCAGGCTCTTGCAGCACGCCAGTTGGTTGAATGGACGTGCGAGGCTCACTACGCTGCATCGTACAGTTGGCCCAGGCCTTGACAGTTGCGCCTGGGCACATACACACAAAGCAGGGCCGATACATTGAGGAGTAGGTCATTGGCCTATGGAAAAACAGCACTGTCAACGCACCTACCTGGGAGCCCTGCACAGATGCAGCAAACAGCCCAAGTCCGGAGACTCAGGCCGTGCCCAACTGTAAATGGGGCCCAGGCCCTCAACTGTAGTCTCGGGCCTGGGCGCAGGGACTACTGGAAGCTTCCAGCCAGGCCACACGCAGCACCCAGGAGGCTGTCACTTCCATATAGGAAGTGAGGCAGCCAAGGCCAGGCATTCTGGCCTGCGTAGGCAATGCGGAAGTGCTGCTGCGCTACTGCTTGATGCTGCGCTGCAGCCAAGGGCGCTGACGAGGCGCGTAGAGGTGAAATGGGGCGCTGCAGGGCAGCGGGGCACAGGCAGCCATAGCCGGGCTGCTGGGCGCCAGGGGGTAAGAGGGCGATCTGGTGGTCTTCAGGGAAGGAGGCGAAGTGTGGGGTATCAAGGTCTGATGAGGGTGACGAGATACGTACCTGGTGCATGAAGAGAGGTCAGCTATGGTGTTGACATCACGTGCATTGGTTTTCGAGAGTCGAAGTGAGCCGGTTGCGTGAACACAGCTGTAGGTAGGATAGGCGAGTAGAGTAGGCTCGGCGCTGGGCGCCAGACAGGGAGGAGTGACTTTGGATATTGTGTTGGTGTGGCCTACGGGCTTGAACATTGGTTCATTACTTCATTGTATTGCTCTATTTGGATGGATTCTCGGTGCATTTGTGTTCTCTGCTTGTACACGACTACTCGGACATCTGTGTGATTTCGCAACTTGGTTTTCTGTATATCGTTCACACTCATATTCTTTGCAATAACGCCCATGGCCACAAAATGGACATATAAGGTCCGGATCCGGAGGGTGCCTGCAGTCATGAACAGACGGACAGCCCTCTACACACATGGATGCAGAAACCATATCATTGTAGTGATTGTGACAGAGACGATTGTGGCTACGGCCGAGTGTAACAATGTTTGTAGTTGTGCAGAGTGTTGGCAAGCTGTCCTGCTGCAGCACAGGGCCAGAGGAATGATTTTCAACATAAAACAGACTGTGGACAGTTTGGTGTGGCAAGAAAACAGCATCTTTACATAGGAAATCAGTGTAATCAGTCATGGCATGGATATTATTTATTTGTTTCCTTACCTGGGTTTCACAGCACATGGTGTCATGTGTGCTCTATAAGATGCCCATTTGCTGTTGGCCCTCATTGTCACCATTGCCCTCGTCCTTTTGGCATTGCCCTTCTACTGGCTCCTCATGTTCCACCCCCCCTACCACTTCTTCCTCCACATTGTCCTCCTCCCTCTCCAGCCTCCTTCTCTTCCTTTTCCTCATGTTCCGCTCTTCCTTTTCCTCATGTTCCGCTCCTACCCTACCCTGCGCCTCATTTACACACCACATAGTGATGTCAGTCTACCTTGCATTCAGAGTACAGCCCAGGTGGCTCAGCGTAGGAGCAGCAGCATAACAATGAGGGGGATCAGGAAGCAAGTGGGTCGCGCTGTGTTCACACCATGGTCTTACATCGTTAGGAAGAGGGAGGAGGCGGAAAAGGAGGAAAGAGGAGACGGAATGCATTGTGTACTCATTGACGAATAGCACCGTGAACATATGCAGTGCACTATATACAGCTTGCCTTGCACATTCACGCGGTACTGCAATCCACACAGTGCGCTGTATACAGCATGCGTTCTGCATTCACCTCATACTGCAGGCAGTGTGTGTCATCTAGAAGAAGAGGAGAAAGAGAAAGAGGAAGAGGAAGCATGGTGATCGGGAAGGAAGAGTAGGACAAAGGGCGACAAAGGAGGGCAGGGGATGACAAGGACACTGGCAACAATCAAGGTGGAAAATCTATTGGCCGTGCGGTGGGGGGGTGGAATGAAAAAGCCTCCCGAGAAGCGGAAGATCGAGCAGATTGTCTTTTTCTTCCTATTTA